AGAGGATTTTTATTGTCCTTCTTGAAAACCATATAGTTTCCCTCCCTCTCTTTTAACAGCACAATATTTGCTGCAAATGCCTGGATGACAAATCACACAGGTAACGGTTTTCTTGTCTGAATGTAATCTTCATTGTACTATTCCAGGCAAACTGCCAACCAACGTCTGAAATCAGGGCTAAGGCAATCTAATTGCAGACAAATGTGTAATTACAATCAATACTATATGTACAATTGCACCTTCCAAAAATGAATCTGATCTTTAATGGCTTGCAGTTGCTTTAAAAAAAAAAAAAAATCTATCATTAGAAATGAGGTTTATGCAATCATCTTCTCGGACTGTTAAGCATCCTCCTCCCAACCTCTGACCCTTCTAAACTTTCTACCTCTTGGTCTGTTTGCAATGAATCTGATAAAGGAGGAAAGACCTTGAGAGACCTTGAATTAAGGCCCGTGAACCCATTTTAATTGGGTTGACATGACATGCATATATGTTGATAGACATATACTTATTAACGTAGATGCATACATATACATCTACCTATCTATCTGGTCATATATATAAGCATTGCTAAAGATAAGTTGTGTTTTTGGTTGGTCTTTGACTTTGCTAATTGATGGAAAATGTAGCAGTTACTCTGTGTTTCTACAAGCTGTCTAACTAGTTCCTCTTCTGGGCTGTGTTTTAGAATGAAAGGTATTTTCTTCTGACGATAAATCCTGATACTTGGGCACTCTCCACTTCTGTTCTGTTAAGAGCTTTTCTATCCCTTAGGAGACTCAAAACATACTTCCTAACTGCTTAATTCCCTTTCGCTTCCTGATAAGGCCAAAAATAAGGCTTTTATTTCTTTTTCCTTTTTAGATTAAAAAACATATTCTCTTTTCTTGAATTAGTACAAAGCAATATCTTTGCTTCTACCCACTGTCAGTGTATTTCCTGAATGGTAGGACACTCATCTCTTCTTGATTTTTTCTTATTCAAACTTTGACTTTTTAAGTTTTAATTTCAATATCACTTTTTTTTTTCCCTAGAAATGCTTTTAGATGCATGAAACATTTGATTTCTGCAGCAATGTTATGTTTTGTTCTTAATAAAGACTCTGAGATTTGGAGTGCTGCAAGAGCCCTGGCTGTCTATTCGGTGCACATTTTTTTAGTGACTTGTAGTTTGGCATTTATAATACATCTTTTTCTGAATGCAGTATCTTGGCCCTTAATGTTTGCAACAGAGCCTGCAGCTCCATGTAATGCTTTTTGTAGACTCCAGCTTGAATTCCATATGCTTATCTGCCTCAGGTACTTTATCTCTTTTATGAGTGCAGATTTCTCTTTTCTTGTGTATTTCACCCTTTTCTTGCAGTGTTTTAGATTCTTTGCCATTTCTACAGTGCCAAAMCCTCTATAGATCATTTTAAGTATATATTCATCCTCTGTAGATCATTTTAGGTATATATTTCTTGCATTTTGCAAATTCTAATTTCTTTGTCACAGAATAATTTTGAGATGGTTCAGTCATCTATTTTTGAGTGTTTGGCAAAGCTAGCCTCTTTTTATGGATACTGTCTGATTGACTCTTTAGTCCTGGACCTGTCAAAAACTGACTTTTTTTTTTTTTTTTTTTTTTTTTTTTTTTTTTTTGCTAGCTCTACTTACACTTTCTATTTTGTGGTGGAGCATAGGACTTCTCAAACTCTGTGTGGTACAATTTACAGTTAAACTATTGTTCCTGAGGAAAAGTAAATCAGATGAAAGTAGTAAGTCCTTCAGAACCAACCACAATCAGAAAAAAGGCCMTCTTCTGACTCTCGTTTTTATTTCTTCATGGTGCCACTCTGCTGCAGATACCGACCCAAGTAGTGGTTACATTTTCAATAATATGTTTCTACTCACATTACTGCTGTATTTGAAAGTTACTCAAAGCCAGTGAGGCCAYCCGAAGCCTGAATCTCTGTGTTCTTATGGATCAGCACTGCCTCACATGTAGATGCACAGCAGGTCTCTGCTGGATCGAGTGTAAGATTTGCAAACGACTGTCTAGCAAAGATGAAAGCAAACGTGCCTCGAGCCTGTAATTAGTCAAGGTAGTTACTTTTGGGTAGTAAATGGTTTCTAGGGCTCTATTTTCAAATGAGGCAATCTGGAGAAGCCAGCTGTAAATTTGCAATGAAAACAAAAAAAAAAACAAAAAAAAAAAAAAAAAAAAAAAAAAAAAGAGAGGGAGGAGATTCAAGAAGCAATGAACTATTTGAATACATTTTTGCAAATATTCATACAGGGGGCAAGAATACTGGAAAGCTTTGCTCATCTTTCCATGTTTCTAAAATGCAGAGTCCATCATACTAGGTCCTCTGAGATTCCCTCTGTCTAATTTAATACCACAGTTAGCTGTGATCTCTGTGCTGTGCCTGGTGTGAARAGAGAGGTACTTCAGCACAAAGCARTATTACCCTCTTCACAGCTGCTCAGTCCTCCCTCACTCTAACATGAAGTAACTATTGCACACACACTTTACAGACCGTCATAAAATATCCTATGGAGCTCGACCAAAGCCATGAGAACCACAATAATTCCTCATGTGTTTACTAGAGCAGCAGCCAGGCTGTTGATGGGAGCTGCAGCAGTATCCAGTGAAGATGGCTGAGTTAGTCAATGTGCAGGGACTAAAGAGAGAGCAAACCACTATGTAGTGTACTTACAGTAAGAAAAACAGATTGTTCTTTTATTAGTTAAGGTTTAGTAGCTCTCCTGGTTTTCTGCTTAGTAACAGCTGAAAGGCTGCATGAGCAATATGTTCTTTTACTTGAGTGTTGTTAGATTATGGGGGCAYGCAGGACATCTCAGTGCTAAACATCATGCTGATGTGTGAGTCACTAGCCCACTGGGGTACTTCAGGGTCCAAGTTCACTAATTCTCTTGGTCCCATCTGGAAGTCATAATAGGGAAACTTGAAGGTTGATGCTGCAACCTTCAGCCTGCCAAAAGCATCTGCCACATGACTTTTTGCCTAGGATCCCACTGAATTGTGGTGAAAGCTTTATCAGTACGTGTCTTCCTCAGAGGATTTATGGTGCCCATCTCAATTGCAAGAGAAATCCAGAGGCAACAAAAAGATTGCCTAAACATTTTTCCACAACAGAATAAACTTGGCAAATTCCTCATTGTAAATGGTACTCTACTTCCTATCTTGACACATACCTGTTGCCTGTGTGATCTTCCACTGAGGCTTTGAGGAAGATGCAAGAAAGGCCTACTAGAACAAAAGGAAGGRAAAATGAATTCATCCAAAGATGAAATGAAGAGAACCTGCTTCTTTTAGGCTTTTGTCAAAAATCACAGAATAACAGAATGACTGAGGTTGGAAGGGACCTCTAGAGAACATCCAATCCAACCGCCCTGATCAAGCAGGGTTACTCAGAGCATGTAGGGTGGCATCCAGGTGGGTTTGGAAGATTTCCAAAGAAGGAGACTCCGAAACCTCCCTGGGCAGCCCGTTCCAGGGCTCTGTCACCCTCGCAGTGAAGAAGTTCTCCCTCACATGCAGGTGGAACTGCCTGTGTTGCAACTTACATCCAATACCCCTTGTCCTRWCACTGRCCACCACTGAGTAGAGTTTGGCCCCATCTTCTTTACATTCTACCCTCAGGTATTTATACATATTTAAAAATGCAATTAGAGAAGGGACAAAATTAGCCTTTTAAAAAGTCTGGGGGAGGGAGAAATGAAAATGAGAAAAGAAAAATATATTCAAGCAGTTGAACATTAGTAGTAGAATGAACAAATATACATAGCTAAAAGTTAACAGTGGAAACAAGAAAAAGGTTTCTTACCACGAAGGAAATAAGTTTTGGACTGAGATTCCAAGCAGAATACTTTCAAATTGTCTCAGAAAGAGATTAATAAGTTCATGGAAGGAACTGCACAAAATCAGAAGAACTGATGCTGGMATTAAAGTTAACATTTAGGATGAGAGGCTTTCTGTGTTCGATTTAGTGCTATCTACAAATAGAATTGAAAGAAGACTTAATCCTCATGTGTTTGCTGCACTCTCCTTATATATAATTAATTAATCCCATTCCTCAAAGCTTTTGCTAATCTCCTGCAAGAGGCCAGAGAGAATTTTCCTTCTTCTGCATAACTTGGCTTTTGTTTTGATTTCRTTTTATTATCATTTATTTATTTATTTTTCCTTCCTTCTCTGAAACTGCAGAGACAATTGGCTACAGCTAGACCAGAAAAAAAGGACAGTACTTGGTAGGGTGAGCTGGCGTCCCAGGTCTCATTGGGGAAGTTTTTGAAATGATTCGGTTGCCTTGCTCATGTACTCAAAAATTAAACTTCTGAACCTTGCAGACAACAGAGGAACTTTTTTTGGTGAGGGCAGAACCAGCAGTTTCTAGGAGAGCTTTCTTCTGACACAGTGTGGGGCAGGGGCCACTTCCTAGGATTACCGCTGAGAAGTCATCAGCATTCGCATTTCTTGTGCATTCTTGAGGTTTCCTGTTGCTGTAGAAATTTCAAATCTTGATTGCATTTTGACATTTTTGATCTCCTTAAAGGCATCTCATAAGGTCCGTGCTTTTTATCTTTTGTTGCAATATGCTGTTTTCATTAGGATATGCGATGCCTTGAGCTGTTCCGAGGAACCTTTCCTGCCTCATCCTATTGCCTAGTGCTTTCCTGAGGCTGCCCTTGGTGACCCAGGCAGTTTCATGCTCTGAGTTGTTCTCTTCCAAAGTAATGTCTGAAATGCTCCTTATGCCAGTATGGAGACACGTATCTAAGAACAGTATGTATAGATGGCTAAGTTAGAGATCACTGAAGTCGCAAGATAGATTTGCTTGTGCCAGTAAGGAGGAAACCGAAAATCAGTTTATTTACTGAAGAATATTTCATACAGCTTTTTAAAAGTATTTTTGCTTTCATTCAAAGAGACAAAGATTCTTAAAAGTTTGGGGTAAGCTGAATATCACTTTTCTCTCCTTTTGTATTTCTTTGCAGGCTCCATCTATGAAATGTTTGGAAATGAATGCTGCCTGTCAACAGGAGAAGTGATTAAAGTTATTGGATTCAAAATTAATAAGCTCATAGCAAGTATCTGTGAGAATAATGAAGACAGCCAGATTTCAGCCAAAGTGGAATTACCACTGAATTTTCCTGGTATTGTATTTCATGAATACATGTTTCTGAGGAATTATAACCCTGATTAATCACCTTTGTTCATTTTATTGATTTGCTGTCTCAAATGATATTTGTCTGAGCTTACAGCTCAACTGTCAAGGACGTAATTTTACTGGATTGCACGAGACACAATTCATTTTTAAATTTCGGCTTTCTTATGGTTCTCTTTCCTGCCTGGATAGAACTTATGATTGTTAAAATTTTAAGTAGTAATGTTTTCTGCACTTCAGAACTTAAATTTGAGAGCCATAAAAGCATCTTTTCAGTTAGTGGAGACTTTGGTGAACTTCGAGCTGAAGTTTTACTTGTTGGGTGCTCAAACTCTAAGTTATTTAATATTGATGCGTTATTACTTTACTGTTCTGAATGTAAAATATTTTAAGTACTTAATTATATTTTGTTTTTATTTTAAATTTTAAATTTTAAATTTTAAATTTTAAATTTTAAATTTTATTTCAAATGGCCAAAGTGGCTGGTCCATGCCTGGGAACAAGATTAGGGGAAAGCATATATTTTGGAGTTTTTCTTCTGCTGTAAAAATCCCAGGTTATTCTGCAGAGAAGTCCCAAGATGGTCATTATTTGGAGACTGGACCTGAAATTTGGCCTCTGGTATTGACTTGATATTTAAGACATGTCTTCCTCTGTTCACGTGGCCTTGTTAGGGAGAACTGGCCAAAAACTGCATTTTTGGCAACTCATACATGTAATTCATTTTATTTTTCAATTCTGCTTTCATCTGAACTCTTCTGTGATTAGGGCCCAGTATGTTTTAAAAAGGAAAGTGACTGAATTGCAGAGGGGGAAGCACTGGAGTCTGTGTGTGTGTGTGTGTGCGTGTGTGCGTGTGTGTGTGTGCGCGCGTATGTTGAGGATGGGAGGAATGTGATGGGAGGTTAGAAAATTGTTAAGATTTGACTTGGATTTGGGAGCAGGGAAGAAGGATAAAGCCTTGACATACATAGAGATGGGACTGGAAATGGAAGCAAAGCTGGGAATTTGCATTCCAGGGAGACTATAACCCCCCTAAGAATAGATATGTACAGGATTTCCTGTGCTAGGAGAGCTGAAGAGAGTCCTGGATCCTCCAGGTGAGAAGGCTGGAGCTGAGGGAAGCTAGGGCTTGAGGATGGCACCTGGGCAGGATGGCGGCTCCAAGGGAAGCAGTGAGATGCTCACAGATGGGCTATGCAGGGAAAGGGTGCAAGTCATGCCTCTGCAGTCCCTGAGGCAGTTTGCAGGATGCCAAATTATGGGATTTCATGGTGAGAGGGATGTGCTTTTTTTTTTTTTTTTTTTTTTTTTACACAGTAAATTACATGCAGACATAGGAAAGTAAGTAGCAGTAATAGTAATGCTAGAAAAATATTCAGATATTCAGAAGATGGCATCTGTCAGAGAAAGGTTATCTGTGCAAGGGAGACAGTCAAGATCTGTAGGAAATAGTGGAGAACTCCCAGATCATTATTTGCCTGCAAGTCCATGTCACACTTGCTGCCCACTTCTGCTGCACCTTCTGCAACAAATGAGATGGGGATCTGAAAGATGACAAGGGTTTTCACTACCTCACTCTGATTCAGTCCCAAACCACAGTCTAGATAGTGCACTAAGGCAGCACTAATATAGAAAAAAAAAGTAGCTCATAAAGATTTAATTAATACTGTATTGCAATGGGTGCATATAGGAGGCTATATTAAGTCTTCATAGGGAAGCATAATATAGATATCTGCTAATGTTTGACATGTACCTTGGCATAACTGCTTGACTTCATAAGGTCATTGGTGTTCTTCTAATATACTGCTATAAATATGAGGACATGTGCATATATATTGCTTAGATTATGCCAGTATCCAAACTGTTACATGCATTTACATGCATTTTTGCACAGGAAGGCAAGATCTACTTCTAGACCCAAATAAAAACACATGTTTTTGCACTATGTAAAAACACATAGGAGTTCACAATTTCATCTGAATTCCACAGGAAAACTACTTATGTTATGCCTTCATTTTCCATCTTCAAAATACAAATTTATCCCTGAAGTAATCCTATGCATCATTTTCCCAGTTTCCCAGCAGATCTTCACTTTACTTTCACGTTCCCTTATTCTGTAAATCAGAAACATTTGTATGACCATTTATTAAAAAGGTTTTTCTTTTAGAATAAGTGCCATTTTCAAGCACTGATAGGGCTCAGGTGTCACAATCAAAACCATTTTAATTATTTGTGGCTATCTAGAGATATTAAAGGACTGCTATTTTGTGAACTCTCTATATACTTTGCATTTTTCTGGAATTCTAAGCTTCTTTGCTATTATTAAAATTTATTCCATCACTATTGGAGGTTATATTCAAACCCTTGATTGGCAGGAGTTTGAACACTAGAATCCTAAAACATCCAATGTAATTGAGTGATAATAGTAATCCTACATTTATTAATGTTGAATCTCCTGAATTTTAGGAGAGAGTGACTTGTCATTTCAAATGCTTCACCTTGATGATTCTGGATTTGTTGGCATTTAACTGATCTGGTTCACAGTTTGTCCTATCAAGCACATATTCAAATTCAGTGTAAGCACTGCAGTTTGCATGCATGCCTACAAACTTTCACAACTAGTATTATAGAAACTTGGGTATTCCTTTCTACACTAACTTATTTCACCAGAAGTATAAACTCAGGGTGCAGTTTGCTAAAATTGATTATTACTGTCCTATCAATAGCTAGTATTGAAGAGCAGCACTGAAGAGAGTAATAATATCACTTTTTATCAGCCCAATAAGGAACACCATTGTCTCTGTTTCTCTTGACTGTTCTTTACAAGGAAAAATTGCCCTCCTCGGGTATGGGAATTTTTTTTTTAGCTTAATCTCTTTATTAAAGCTGATTTATGTTAACTTTAATAACTTTATTAATACTTTGATAACTTTTTTGCAATTATGATCTGGGTGAAACATAATACTAGCTTGCTGCTGGCTTGCTTCCTCTCTAGAACAAAACACAGAACGGAATCAAAGTTGGCTTTTTTAACACTGTCACTGACTGACTTCAGTAAAAATTGTGTCTGTAGCACTCTGGCACTGTATTTACATTGTACTTAGAGTGTTCTCTTGCCAATGCTGATGTAAAGAAATCTTTTGTTTTAATGTTATTTTCCATTTCCTTTATTGTGAGTTATCAATTCCATCAAATGGGCCGATTTATCCTTTCACTATGTGCATGCTGGCATAAATAAGCAACAATTCTATTTAGGTTACACTAGGATAACATCTATGTGAGAGAAGAACTGGGCTCATTGGCTTTAAACAAACCTTTCTCTTTGTCTTTTTGAACATATTTGCAATCTACAGAATTCCTTTTTTTTTCTGCTCTGGCAAATCAGATTCTAGATAAAGGCCTAATCTGGGTTTTGAATTAGAGAAATCACTGCAACTGCAAATTCACTATCTATGTTATTTCATTTTAGTCTCATTCTAATAATTTGTTCTTTTTTGTTCTTTTCCATGCTTCAGAGGGCCAGGCTATTCTTTCTGTGCAGGCTATTCTTTGTGTGTTCATACACTGGACCAAAAAAAAAAAAAAAAAAAAAAACAAGAAATACTATTATTTTACCTACTTCAGTACTTCAATATCTGCATTTAAAAGAATTTTGAATCACAATTTTCCCTACTAGCAAGTTTGCAGAAACAGGTAATTTATACACCTTAACTGTGTACTAGCACAAATGATTTCTTTTTGTTTTATATAATCCTTGTTCTGCAAAACCCTTGCTGGATTCTCTGTTTTCTGAGACCTATGACAATTGTTGCTGCTCATTACTACATGATCTCCCGAATATATAGCTGAGCACTGTTGTCCCTTTGAGCTATCAGCTTTCATGAGCCACAAGACAGGAGACCTGTCTGTAGACATGCATCACACAAGCAGAATTTTTATTAGACCATAGAAAGTTTCTTCTGTGAGTTAAAATGCTGTCAACCTGAAGGAACCCACCTGCAGCTGGCAGAGTAAAATGTCAAGGCAAGGGTGATGTCTACTACGCTGCTTTTTGGATGGTGAAGGAGGGATGGTAAGGAGCTGGAGAGGGCCAAAGGCTCCAAAGATTTGCCTTTCTTCCTTTGAGCTTCACATCAGCATGGTGGACACTGACTGGGAAGGTAGTGGAGAAAAAAAATCTGGGGAGAAGATAAAGGACATATAGTGGTGATAGCAAGATGTCAGCCTTGAGAGAGGATGGGAAGAGGATGATGCTGGAGCAGAGGAAAGGGAAGAGGGAGGGCAGTGGGCATAAGAGAAAAGAAGAACAGCAATCAAGTCAGCTCCAAAGAGTTTGGGAACTGAGCTTTTTCACTTTTTCATTTTTTTTTTTTTTTAACTACAGAAACTAGTAGTGTAGGACAAGTTCTTTTTTTCTGCTTTTTTTTCCTTGAAAACTACGAGGTGATGCTTACTGCTGTTTATTTTGGAGGGGAGTGGGGGCAGGAAGGAGAAAATAAGAGAATGAAAAGGAGAGTCCTCTTCCTCAGTACTCTAACTGAGACTGAAAATGGGAAGTCTATAACAGTACAGGGTGGTACACTTTGTAGCTATGTAAGCAGTATGAGAGCCACAAGTTACTCTGTGAAAAGGTGTTTGCCAGAACAATGCTTTGCCATAGGACTAAATGGGTGATCCTCAGAGATTCTTTTCTTTTCCATACCAACAGAAATTACTTTTCTCAACATCTCAGCCCCCGCTCCTCTCTTCATTACATTTATATACATCAATGCTTAGAACCTTTTCTGGAAGCTAGCTTTGAGACTAATTATCATATTACCTTACCTACTGAAACGCTACTAGGTGTATTTATGTCAGTATTATGTGTGCATAGTTGTTCCTGACTCTCTCCATATTTTTCCCAAAACCACTGGTCAATGATGAGCCTTGGTTGCAGATCATACTATGTTTAGAAAGCAGATCTACGTGAGCAATAATGCCAACTCTAAATATGCCACATGGAACTTTTTCCAGATTCACTTTATCCCTCTACATCTAGTTCTCAAATGCCCACCCAACTCTCTCAGAAAAGTCTAAGTGAATTTAATTAAGTCATTCACTTTATGATTTATGAAAGAGAAAAAAAAATATTTTTGTTTGACCTCAAAATGTCCAAACTCAAGCATCTCAAACTTACCATATGTTTCCTAGTCCAGACGATTMTTCATTATGTTAGGTTTGGAAATCATTTGATTTTGTAATTTGATTCATAATGACTTTTGTGAGGTTCAGAATAGTTACAGAAAACAGTTTTTAAAGGCATTTCCCCATGAAAAATAAATAAAAACTTCAAGGAGGGTATTTGTGGGCAGACCGCATGGCAGATTTCAATTGCTAGTTAGGAAGCACAGGAACTTTCACCCATCATGACGGAGTAACTTTTTACATATTCACCTCTTATCTGCAGAGGGAGAAACATATGGAACTTTACATACCCATAAGCAAAAACAGGTGGCTCTTTGGTGCCACCTATTCCTATGCTCATCAACAGAGAAGCTCACTCTGCAGGGCCGCGTGGTTCTTTGGTTGCCTGTGCAAGCATTCTGTTACTGAAATGAAGAAAAGCAGTGGAATGGGAGGGGAAGAATTTTCTGCTCCCCATGCTGACAAAGATGGCCTGGGTCTAAGAGGATCATCAGTTGTGTAGTTTTGTGTGGGACCTGATGATTACACTTCCATATGAGGGCTGCTTTCCAGTTGCGGCTGCTCATCAGTTTGCTGCTGATTTCACTGCCTTCCAAATAGCTCATTTGTCCCAGGGAAATCAGTAGAGCCAGAGTCTAGTGTCAAACTCCCAGAGGAAAGGAGTGTTTCTCATACCTGTGCATTCCCAAATAGTCTCAACTGCAAATGTTTTTTTCATGTGACTTTTTAACAAACTTCTGGATGTTTTCTAGGGGCAGTAGGCATGCTTCTATCTGGTAAATGTGTAAAAATAGTTCTTGCTTTCGGGACCCTTCGTGTATATTTTGAACACATATTTTTAATGAAGAGTTTTCCTATGCCATTTCTTCCAGCACTGCCAGCATGACATTCGGACATTGTTCAGGGAATGTTTTCCTTTCCACCACTTTGGTTTATCATCAGGATGTTGTCATTAATATTTTGTAAATGCTGATGAGCCAAGCTTGTCTTGATCTGCATTGGCTGCTCTGATGATTAGGTCTGGGGAAGCTAGCTTACTTTCTCAAAATGATACTAAAAACAGTTGTCAGAAATGTTAAGCAGACTGGCGAGAATAAAATGGGTATTTAAGTAAGTTGTGCCTGTGTAGTTACATTCATGGACGCAGCTTTGCTGCAACCCAGATAAAAACTGGAGTCTTTTCCATAGTGCTGCCATAAGGACGTATGTGTAGAGGATATATCTGCACAAGCATTCTCATTTCCCATAGGATAAGTTAATTATCATGAAGACATGTGAGGCACTAAACTGTGGAAAGCAGTTACATAGGTACAACTAGTGACTATTTCAGCAGTAAATCAAAGAAGTGGTTACTGTTCAGGCTGTTGACGAGTGTGGTCAGAGCTGGTCACCGCAATGACAAGTGGTCTCGTGGGATACCTAGAACCCACCATGACCAGCCTGGTGCTAAGTTCCGCTAAAAGCTCTTCAGCACACGAAATCTTAACGGTATCTCCTTTAGCAACAAAGGTGCAAGACATGAATGCAGCAGTTTCTGTTGCAGTGGATCTAGGACCACAGTGATTCTGTGACGAAAAAAAATGGTTGTTATAGTGGAAGGCATAGTTTGATGCAACTTGGTTTTAGGAATATAAATCTGTGAAGCCGCAGTTGAAGAAGCCCCTGTGTGTAGGCCCCTCGGTTGTGTTGATACAATGTTGTGTTTCTGTGGTACAGGTGAAAAGGAACCAGTCTGACAGAAAAGAAGCAGTCTGGAGGTTATATTTTTAACCACAGCAATTTCCTAACCTAATTTGTTGAGCAGTCACTCAGTTAAGGGAAGTATACTGTACTCTTTTATCACAGAGTCACAGAATGGTTGAGGTTGGAAGGGACCTCTAGAGATCATCTAGTCCAACCCCTTGCTCCAGCAGGGACATCCAGAGCACGGGGTACAGGGCGGCATCCAGACGGGCTTTGAAGTTCTCCAGAGAAGGAGACTCCACAACCTYCCTGGGCAGCCTGTTCCAGGGCTCTGTCACTCCCACAGTGAAGTTCTTCCTCAGTGTTGGAACTTGTAGCCCTTGCCCTATGTCCTATCACTGGCCACCACTGAGAAGAGTTTGGTCCCGTCCTCCATACATTCTCCCCTCAGGTACTTAYGCTCTGTAGGAGGCAAAAATGTGGAGCAGCAGCACCCAGGGGTTTCTGGCCATTTGGCTTTCAGGGAGGGAGGGAGGGAAAAAATACCATGAATGTCCATTAAGAGGTTGTCTTTGACACTGTAGCTTGTGACCACCCTGGCTTGCAAACTTGGCCTAGGAATAACCTCTGCATTCAGTTATATTCCTTAGGAAGAGAGGCTGACTCCATGACCATGCAGGAAGGCTACAATATAATTCCAGGTGGCAGCAATCACACCACTGTGCCCTGGGAAGGAGACAGCTTAATCATCCAGCTCTGCCAAGCCCCGCTGTTTAGTCCTCTAAACTGTCTACTTCATCTTCCTCTGTGGAAACGCTCATACAAATACAGATATGTACACATTCCTCTGGCTGGGTGGACTCTTAATGAGACAGCTCCATGGTGCATGATTAACATGAAATAATAATGTCTCTAGGGGCTAGGGAAGCCCAGATGTATCTTTGACACTGCAGTTCTTCAGCACTTTAACTGTCTTGGGAGAGTCACCCTGCTCCTGTGGCCAAACTATGAATTACTCCATCTGCTTGTCTGGGCTATCAGTTGTGCTAAAATCAAGTTCTTTYATTCATTCTTGTCTATATGTGTTATTTTTCTTGCATGTGCTATTTCTTTAAGCATATTTGGTCTAGGAATACCCAGTGTACATGTGTAAGTGCAGGTAGGATAGATTTTTAGAGAACAACTTTATCTTGCATTTCACTGATCATATTAGCAYTACTCTTCCTCATATTGTGTCTACATTTATTTCTTTAAGGCTGCTTTCCTGAGAAGACAGATAGGAATTTGAGATAATTTGTCCTTTTTTTTTTTTGCAGTAGCAAAGAATCTAACTTTTTTTTTTTTTCTTTTTATCATGGATGTAAACAAGTCAGAGTTTTTTTCATTGCAGAGTAGAAAGGGCTAATTCCAGCAATTCACATTTTGTATCACACAGTTGATTTTATGCTGTATCACACAGTTTTGACTTTATAGAGTCACACTTCTAGCAATAAAATTATCAGCCACAAATTATTTAATATGCTCTGATGACCATTCACAATATAAATTATGGCACGGCTTTGTACTTTTTTTTTTCCCCTTTTATAACTCAACCTTTCCATTTTAGGTCTTTATAAGGTTGTAGCTGATAAAACTCCGTACCTCAGCATTGAAGAAATTACACGAAAAGTCTCTATTGGGCCAACACGATTTGGTCATCCATCTTTCTACTGCACTGAGGATATAAAATTGGCAAACCTCACCATCAAACGTGGTGAGCACATCACCTTCARCTCTCTGGAGGAGGTCAATGGAACAATGGCAGTGAACTGTGGCGTGGTCAGAAATAACCTGTCCCACTCCTTTACTTTGCCCCTTTCGCAAGAAGGAAAATTCTATGAATGTGAAGATGACCAGATATACACCCTGAAAGAGATTGCAGAATGGAAAATTCCTAAGAGCAGAAACCGGACTGTGAAACTTTCCAATACTTTACGCGTGTGGGACTCCTCTAACCCACTTCCTGAGAATTTTGGTGGCTACTTGATTCTCACGCCTGTCTATGAAGTAAAGGCAGTAATGAAATGTAAGTAAGAACCAGTTCCTCATGATAAGAATTTTCTTAATCAAACACAGGTTGTTCAGAATTCAGTTTCAGGCGGGGATCATTTTGGCTAAGAATTCCTGAATCATGTTTGCCGCTGCTGCTAGTTTCAARATTGTAAAACATAAAAATAATATTACAATTTGGTTCCTCTACTATCCCATAGTTTCTTTGTATTTCTTTCTCTTGCTATTTTATTGATACTARTATCACAACAATTAAATTGTATTTGAAAGGAAAATATGCTGCCAAGTGAAAAGCAGGCTTAGGAATACAGYTCAGTTCTCAGATTTTCTTACTTCAAATTTCTGACTTTGACCATGGAGAAGTCATTTGGCCATTTAGGACTCTGGCTAGCAATTGGAGAATAGAAATAGATATACATGTTGTAACAGAGGCTGGTTTTGAACTACATTTCATTTCTCAGACTGCTGCAGAAAGTTTCCCCATTACAGAAAGAAATGTCGATAGAATGTAAACAGAAAGACTCATGGACAATTTCTGAAACCTCTGGCTTTGAGGAAAAGGGAATGAATTAGAAAAGCACTATCCTTAAGAGCTGCGATTTGTGTACGCATTTAAAAAAAAAAAAAAAAAGGAAAAGAAAAAGAACTACTGTTTTGACCAYGAGAAGCAAACACTGTTCTATTTTGTTCCTACCGAAAAAGCCCACGCTGCTGGGTTCTGTTCTTTGCAATGTTTATACCTATGCCTATTTATGAGAATAAAATCAGAAGGTAGGCAAGGGTATGAACACAGCAAGATGCTCCTGAGTTAGGGTGGCTTGAAGAGCTGAGCAGCAGTAATGAGCCATGTGTGCATGCACAGCCTACCCTCATTGAGTGCAAAAAAACTGCTTAAGCCAAAAAGTTTGACCTTGCTTCTGAGACTGAGGGCAGCCTAGGCAGTAGATGGAAATTTGTAACCCTTCTGCTTTTCTGTGCACTCATACTGGTAAGGTTTGCATGATAGGAACTTAGCTTTTGGGTAGATTTTGCTGCTCATTTTCTTTACTACAAGTATGTTAGGCAGCTCTATAGAAACAAAATTGTATTACTAATATTCATCAGGATATTAAGCAGGAATCTTTTCACACTGGAGATTTTCCTGAGGAATGACATATGTAATTGGATACAGTAAACACATCCACACAAGTTGCTGAATGCTTTTCCTGAGATATTGCACTGTGTCTGTTTTTCTTATCAGAATCAATGTGCAAATTTGGAAAGTACAATTTAATGGATTAAAATACTTAGTTTTTCCAGTCCTGCAACTGGATCAACTTAAGTGTATCCTTATGCCCTCTTAGCAGCTATAGGTGCTGGAGTACTAAAAATTCATTAAATATTTCTTTCTTTTTTTTTTCTCTTTTCTCAAAGTGTCTTATAGTTATTTAAGAATTTTAAAGAATAAAAAGTAGGAACAAAATATTGGYTTATGGTACTGCAAGAAAATGTGATTCCAGGTTATAATATACACTGTGTGCACATCTAAGTAATATAAGTCTTAATGAAGAGGATCACTAAATAATATTTGCCTGTTAAATTTTATTGTCCTGGTCAGTGATCTGTGATGTCACTGATCTGGATCCAAAGTCTTAAACAAGCTTTAATTACATGGTCAGTTTTGTGCTTGGAAATTTTGCATCCAAAGTTTTGCTGTGATAAAGGAGTTGTTGTTCCCTTGTTGTCAGATCATTAAATGTGGTGGCTTGGTTCTGACAGTGAGTAAAACCAGATGCCTCAGAAAAAGATGCAACGGTTCAACAGAAGACCTTTGTAGGGAAAATGTATTCATTCATTCATGATAAATTTGTATTTGTTACATAAAAGTTTTTCTTTCTTAAAAAAACATGATACTATTTTGTCATAAGTATAGATTTTTTAAAATGATTGTTCTTATAAGTATCAGTATATTTTTTCCTACCATATTGAGCATAGCAATATCTTGTAATAATGAATCCTTAAAAGTAAATAAATTACTATGAAATAAATTAAAAAATGAGAAATACATCTTGTACTTAGTAAAAAGAGTTTGATAAGAGAAATAGCTAATTAAATTTGGAGGGGYAGTGAGAAAGACAGTGAACTAGATTTTCCTTTTCCTTTTGCTTAACCTTTTCTTCATTTGTGTACCTTTCTCTCATATCATCTTGTTTCTCTCTTCCTCCATGGGGAGTCTGCATTGTCAGGTAACTAGATAACTGCATATCTTGAATTAAGATAGGCAAGCTTTGACTGGCACTGGCAATAAATCCAGGCACACAAATAGTTACACAGCTTCTCAGAAAAGGTCCTTTACAAATTTGGCCTATAGGGCATGTATATTTTATTTCAGTGTCAGACAGAAAATAAAAATGAATGTATTTCTTTTTCTTTCCAGTTCGAAAGGATATAGTCCATATCCTCTCAGATCTGGATGTTGAAGTCAAAGATATAACAGACTGTTATGATATTAGCGCTTTTCTTCAGCCACTGTCTTTGGAAGATGTATTTGAGAGAACAAGCAAGGAATTTCCTATGGTTGCTGAGATAATGGAAGGGCCCCAAGGAAGCCAGAAGCCTTATAATTTATTGTATACGGGGAAAGAGATTGTCATCCACAAAAAGTATCAGGCAAAAAGAGTCCTCGCTTCTGAGATCAGAAGTGATTCCCCAAAAAGATATTTTTTAATCCCTATGAGCTACAAAGGAAAGTTCAAGAGAAGACCTCGGAATTTTCCGACTGCCTATGACTTAGAGATAGCAAGAAGTGAAAAAGAGCATCTCCACGTTGTAGCAACTAAAGCCTTTGATTCTCCCCATAAAGAGCTCTTTTCTGTTTCTGTTGGAGATCAGTTTCTAGTTCATCAGTGTCAGACTAGTGAAGTTCTGTATGAGGGAAGAAAGGAAGTTGTAGATGTTTTAGCTTGTGAACAAATACTAAGCAATACTTATAAGAAGGTGCTTCTCCCTATGTATATGGAAGGCGGTTTTGTAGAAGTGATCTATGACAAGAAACAGTACCAGCTTTCGGAGATTTGCACTAAATTCCGCCTGCCTTTTAACGTCAAGGTGTCTGTGAGGGATCTTTCCATCGGGGATGATGTCTTGGCTGCTGTGCCTGGTCTGCAGCTTGAAGAAGAAATCACAGATTCATACTTGTTGGTCAGTAGTGTCAGCAGACCAGGGGACAGCTGGGAGATCCCTGTGTATCGCCTAAGCATGTCAGTCCATTTGCTTGGCAAAGATGTCCAAACGGTTGTACCCGCTGCCAGTAGGACAACAGTGGAGGAGATCAGCGAAGAGCAATACTATATGGTGCGAAGATATGAAAACCAAACCCTATATCCACCACCCAGGCCTCCCAAAAAGCCAGCAACACTCGCATCCAAGCCCCTTCTTGCAGTACCTGTGCAAGCGGTATCTGGTGTACTGAGGGACCCAAAGGTAAGGCATCACTTCTTTGCCTTTGCTTTGAATCTGTTGCAATCACAGTTCACTTACTATCAGTTTATAGTGCCTATCTCATTTGTGTATCCTCGTGGCACCTTACACAGATGGCTCTCACTTCTCTGTAACAGACAAATTAGCAATTATAGACAACAGCTAAAATCTCCAGTGTGCATTAATTGAGCCATAAAGGAAATGTAGCCATGCGGACTCACAGTGGAACGCTTGTCCTGGCAATTCTGTATGGATAAACCTTTATGGGACCTAGGCAAAAATGAAGAGAGATGCTTGAAATGGCTGTGTTTAGGTGGTTATTACCTGTGTGTTTTCAGGATACATGTGAGAAGAATTTTGCTTACCTGGAAAAAGTAGAATTACATTTCACCAGAAAGACAGGTTGTATAGATATTTTTGGCTGCATGTTTTTGCACATACCCAAGTGGCAAATAGATTTTGAGTAAAAAGGGCAGCTGTTTTAGAACAGTCTTTGATGAAAGGAAAAAAAAAATGTCTCTCCTAGGACAGTTTTCTTAGTAGCAGTTAACCTAAGACAACATTCATTAATTTTCTTGCTTATAGTGAAAGAACTATTAAACCAAACCTTCAGCAAGGGAGACTGTCCAGCAGATACATAACTTAGGTGATAGTTTCTCTCTTTCATGTGCTAAGGCAAATTCCCCTGCATGGAGAAAAAAAAAGAAAAGAAAAAAGAAGGGAAATGTTGGAAACTTTTTCAAAATACTTATGCTGCTGAGGCCTCAGAACGAGACCCCAGGGTGGTTGTGCTGAACTTCAAATGCAATGTAATTCATGGAACTATATTTTGGGGGTTCTGGGAAATGTGAAATAACGATCAAATAAAGATCCCACTGTAATGATCCTAGAAGGGAGGCTTTTGCAATACCTCTCCTCACCTGCTGAATGATTGTTACCTTAGTGTCTATTCCACTGCACAGGTCCGTATTCCACATAGATCCTGGTAAGTGATTACAATAAATCATTGGAAAAGTGGATGCATAAAGTGGGTCCCTCAGATAATGTTAGTTCAGCAAAAAGCTATGCCATTTTCTTCAATGTGTGCTTGTGCTAGGAAAACTTCTTTCTGATCTTTTGTACAGTAAACTGTAGCAGCTTAATCCATTTGGTAAGGCTTGTGTGAATAAACAAGAGATTGGGTCCAGAACTAAGAGGAAGCCTTCAGCCTGGAGCTGAGCCTTGAGCCTTGAGCCTTGARCTCAAGGTACAGAGCTGGGCACTGGGGCAAGGCTTCCCCCAGTGCTGTGTTTCTGGTATGACTGTGCCCTTGGTCAGAAGAACTCAGGCTGTGTGTGGACACCAGCAAGTACGTGCTGACTTGTGCAGGAGAGAATATTTGTTTGAAGAAGGGAGAAAGCAATTAGCATAAGAGAGGGTTGAGTTCAAGTTGCCTTGTACATTCATGAGCGAGAACGAACTTAGACTGCAGCTGTCCAGACACAGAAACGCATTTAAGCAGACTGTTCCAGAGGACATCTTTTTGCCACATGCCTTGCTATAAATAAATAATAAACTACAGYCAGAATGCTTAGACTTATGCAGATTTGTAAATCTCCTTCCATGAAAAGGTGAAACAAGTAGAAATCCCTTATTCATAGGATTAAACATCCTAAGCTTTCATGTAATAGGTTTAAAGTTGTGCAGAATGCATTATCTCATCTGTCCTGAGCACAGCAAATCCTCAGAGAGGATGTGGATCTCAGCTGATGGGCTCTGCTCTGGCCTTTCAGTCAGTGATGGYAATAGGGGTGTCTGTGTTTTCTTCTCAGGGATGTCTGAGGTTTCAGAAAGTTGGAGATTGCACCAAACTGATAAGTTTTTCTCTTTGCATACTTTATGACTATGCCTAGATGTATTTGCATGAATAACAGACAAGAGTCCTAATGAGCCAAACTTAAGCCTGACAAAGTGGCAGCCTGGAATAAGCCTTAGGATTGCAGGCATTGCCACATTGCTTCTGCATAGCAGTCTACCTGGCATTTAGAGAACTCTGGAGAGAGGGTGGTCAATGAGTATTTTTTGAGGCAGGATCAGGCTTTCTGGGTTTTCAAGGTGAACATCCATGCGGAATAGTCAGCACGTGCATAGTATTCACATCTCTGGGGCAGCATTTTTCTCTTTCTTGTCCACTGGTTGGGACACTATGGGGTTCCAACTGGGTTTGGCATTCTGGAGCTGAATACTTTTGCTGGAATAGTCCAGCAAGGACTAAAATCTGGCCGTTCTATGTCAGGACCTGAGGATGTTCTGCCCAGGTGGATCACTGTTAGCAAGTGCTTCTGCTTGCTTAAAGCAAGGTCATGAGCGGAGACTGGCTCCAGCTGTCTTTGCCTGCTGCTTCCTGACCTTGATAAGGGGAAAACTAATGCAAGTAGAGGAGCTATATAGTGTTTGTTTCCTTGTGTACTTTTGGCCATGCTAGTCATTAAACTGGATAAAACTAGCAGTCAAGATGGACAGGAAGTTTCTGTGAACCTGAGGTAAGTGTAAGAGCCGCTTCTGCATCTGCACAAGGTGGAATATTGCAGCAGTGGRTATGTGTGTGTAGTTTGGCACAGCAAAACACCGAGATATCAGATAAATTCTCAAACACAATATAGCTGCATTCACAAAGAACTCTGCCCAACCTCTTTACAGAGCTAATTAAGTTGGCTTTGCTTCTGCTGACACAGCTTTCAACTCCAGAGCCTGGGGATCTCTTTTCTCTCCCCTCTGCAGGGCAGTGTGGACTTTACCTCTCATCTGACCATTTAGTCTGGATAAAAAACACCTAAACTACATAGGTCTGCAGTTTTGTATTAACTGATAATTGAATAGGGGAAAAAAATACTCAAAAGCATACATGCAAACTAAATCAAGGAAATGAAATAGCCTATGCCAAGCCATCAAATTCCTCTGATAGATCAAACTGTGTCTACTAAAAGTAGACAGATGTAAGATGCTACCTGTGGCATCATGTCTGCCCCAAACCCTAGCTGTTTGCCCTTACTCCCTCCAAAGCCACAGGTGACAAAATGACGCCTGGTTTGTCTTATAAAGCTTAGTGCTAGCAGTCATTCACCAGGCACACATTTCCCACATTTGATACACTGGAATAAACTCCTTAAAAGGCTCTCTCTGCCACTTTAGATTAAATGGTTTAAACCATGCCTCATTTGCAAAGTTGGCTGGAAAATGGGAATGGTCTAATAAACCCCTAGTAGTTAATGCCACTGATTTTAGAACAGGGGCATCTCACACTTGCCAAGGAGCTCTTGGAGAGAAGTTTTTCTAGGGGGATCCAGTCTGGATGTCACCTTCTCGAAATGAAAATTAATTTAAGAAAAGCAAGCCAGGTGTGTATTTGTAGGTTCTTTTCATAGTTAGGTCCCCTGTGCTGAATATAACAAAGTTATYAAAAGAGGGAGTATTTGCCTGTTTATAGAGTAAGAGAAGTTAGCTCCATCCAGTGCTATTTTTAGTGGTCTGCTTAGACATGTATCTAGCCTGTGGAACATTAGTATCACATACATAGAGTACTCACAAGGTTCAGGTTAGGTTTGCCTTTAAATACCTTTATGAGTGTGGAGCTGGAAAAGTCAGTCACAGACAGTGATTTGCTGAGCTCCAGCAATCAAGCTAAGAGAATTCCAGCAGGCCAAACTGGAATTTAATAAAATGGTAAGTATAAAGGCATGAGAGTTAATCGTCATTCAGTGCTAAGGTCCATTATCCTTCAAAAAGTCATTACAGTGATACAGTATCAGGAACTTTCTTGCTTTCTTGCTTTTTATTTAAAAATTAAAATGAAAGAAAAATTATCGCTTCCATCTGGGTTTGCAGTTCTACAAACTGAACTACCGAAATCTGTCATTAACATAGTTATCGCATCTGTCTTCACAGCAAAATGAAGACTTATCTGGAATTAAATTGATAAGACATAAGCAGCATTTTTCAGCAAATGAGTTTTCCTGCAACTCCTCTTYTCCTTCTTCCTAACTATTTCTTTTCTGCTTCCAGAGCATTTTTTAAGGATTTGGGCCCTTTCTATAGTTTGTTTAATGCACACATTTCTGCTGTGCAAGAAGACAGTGAATTTCCTAAATAAATGCATAGAACAGAAAATCCATGCAGGGAAATCAGCAAGGAATATGTGAGAACAGAGTTCATGGATCAATAATATTTTGGTACTAGAAATGAGGGAAGACAGCATGGTTCCTTAGCAGATGCAAATACAAATGTGCAAACGTGCAAATGTAAGAAACAGGGCTGCTGTCTGAGCATTGTGGCTCCTGAGGCTGCAGCTGGGCTTCCTGYTCCTCCCCCTTTTCACTCTTTACCCACGAAACAGGAAGTTCCCACCTTTTACTCCTGGAGTTTCACCGTCTTCCCCAACCCTCCCTTCTGCTCACCACAGGTATYGTTTCTCGTATCACTTTCCAATAGCTCTGTAAGTCCATAACAAATAGTGTGGGAAGGCTGGAATCACTGCCCATGCAGATTTATGATTCATGGTGCCCCAGATTCTGGATGTCTCCCAACATCTGTAGCCTTTCCCCAGCCCTGTCTTGCCTGCACATCCCCAATGTTCCTTCATACTCCTTCAGGCACCATGCCCAGTATGTGCTGCAGAATCCTTTGCCTCCTAAGCCCCTACTCAGTGCCCTGGGTACCCTRAAACACTACCCTGCAGTGCCAGAGTCCTTCAGACCAACATCCCTTTGGTGCCTCAGCTCCGCACATGTCTTCAGCTGACCAAACTTGTGTGACCACAGTTTCCCAGTCTTCTCGTCCTCTCTGCCATCTTTCAGCTCTTGATTCTTCTCAGAACATCGCTTCCTCTTGGTCTCCTCCTCAGTGAGCTGACATTGCAGAGTSGAAACCACAGAGACTTTCCAAATTACATATGGGTTTTCATCTTCTTCTGCAGCAGCGTAATGAGCAGACAGCAGAGCAGGAGTCTTCACTGAGATTTTTAGGAG